CAAAAAAAAAAAAAAAATCGTGATTCTTTTAGTGTATCATGTTCACTCTTTGTTTATATATTTATTTATTTATTGGTGTATTGATGTGCTTCATTATTGAGTTTTGAATGCATGAACATTGAACTGTTATACTTAATTCTTAATGCTAAATATTGTTAGTTTTGCCCTTTGAAGCAGTTGCATTCAGGGAGAGGGGAGGAGCCAGAATTCAATATATACCCGTGCTAAAATTATTTTTATGAAACCCATATATGTTATAAATAAATTTTAAGAGTGACCAATTAAATATTAAATTAATGCACAATAAACACTAAATTAAAATTAAAGTATGTATTAATAAACTTTAAATATGATCAACTAAACACTAAATTAGTCCAACATATACACCAAATAAAAAATTCATTACTAAATAAACATTCATTATTAATTATTTAATGTGAAATATATAAATTGAAAAATGAACAAAATAAGCAAAATTTAGTATATAGTTAATAGACAAAGGAATATTCAAACATAAATGAAAAAATTAGAATATTAATTATTGTATAAAAAGACACATAAAAGGTGAAAGTAAGTATAAAATATAAATTAATGGCAAAAACACATAAATTTTATTATAAGTAGACCCATTATTTGCCTTTGAATAAACATCCTAATAAATTAATGGTTGAATGACGGGGCACCCGGGCTACAACCCAGGCAAGCATATGACTGCCTCCGCCTCTGGCTGCATTAGAGAAACTGTTATTTTTTTTTTGGTACAAGAAAAGAGACTAATCCGAGCCTAAACTAGAACCGACCGAGGATGAGACACGCACATCTTATCATGATGCAACCATATACACGCTCCTGATGGAGGATGATCAAGCCTCTGAAGTCCACTCGGACCCTTAGCCGCCAACGACGCGAAGTAATCTGCCACAAAGTTTGCCTCTCGATAACCATGTCGAATTACCACTGTCCAATCCCGACTCAAAAGCTCCTTAATAACTCTCAGTATACCACAATGAGGCCTGTCGAAGATACTCTTACTGTCGACTTCAACTTGCACTTTCCGTGCATCGACATCCCAGGCCAAAGATAATCACAGAAACAGTCCCAATATCTCTACGCCATAATCGAACAAAACCTAATATTCATTAAACAACCATGTAACTAATTCCCATGCTGGGATCACACCACCGGCACTCGCCATTCCTGTCGACGGATCAAAACTTTTACCTTCAGCTCATTCTCTCCCAGGCATGCCCTTGCAATCCAACGCATTTCTCGAACACCACTAGCCCAACACACCGACTCCCGGCCAAAGCACGTCGTCCCATATCCACGAAAGAGACCACTTCGCCAATGCTTTGGGACGTGGAAATATCATATCCCTGGAAGATCGTCAGATTCCGCCACCTCCACAAACGCCATGCCGTAAGACCTCACTGTTTATTGTGTTTTTGTGTTTATTTTTATATGATTGTGTGTGCTTTCGAGTTGATTCTAGGCTTATTTTAGTTTCGACCGGTCCATTTTGGCGTTTATCGTCTGTTTTTATGTTTTATTGTTTGTTTCACATTTTGGCGTACTTTTCCCGTACTTTTGCTATGAATTTCAGGTTTATTCCGGGATAGAGATGAAGAGTCGAGCCATGTTCTGAGAGAGTCGAGTCACGTTTCGAGCAATGAGCATTTACCGT